AAGCCACCTTTCCCAGAGCCCCTGCAACCCCACAGAAAGGTGTTTGCATCCAGCCTGATCCCTCCAGGCAAAGACATCGGGGTCCAGTCCCGGAGCCCATCACAGCCTGCCTGGGGTTTGCTATGTCACTTCCATCCCCTCAGATATAAAACCCTCTAAAAATCAGTGTCACAGGGGCAGGGGGTCCCTGAGCTGTTCCCAAGCTCTGCCCCTCATTGCAGGGCTGGGGGCCAGGCTGCCCTGATGCCATCCCCATCCCTGTCCCCCCTGGGGACCTGCTGTACCAAGGATGGAGCTCCCATAAGATTTCTTATCCATGTGAATTCCTGGATGCATGTTTGGGAACCTGTTTTTTCCCCTAACTTTGGAGGTTCATTCATTGCTATGCAAGGCGAGTCCATTCCCTACACTCCTCCATCCTGTCTCCCCCTTCTCCCGCCCCTCACTGCTCCAGCTATCCCAGCCTGGGACGTTAAAATGAGCTGAATTTTTCACGATGAGGGGGGAAAAAAATAAAAAAAAATAAAAAAAGGAAAATCTGGGAGTGGAGGAAGAACCTGTGAGCTGTGACCTCCTCCAAACGCACAGCACCAAATCCACACAAGGAAAACAAAAGGCAGTGAGATTAGCATTTCCAAACAGAGCAGAGATGGCCCCAATCTTTGAGCTGTTTATTCTAGGCGTTGATTTTCAATATTTAGGATGATTAGCAAGTGAAAGCCGGCTGTTGCCAGAATGGCTCCGTGCCAGCCCCGCACTCAATGGAGGGGAAAGAAAGACACGGCAAGAAAAGGAGAGAAAAGAAGGGCTTATGTGTATATTTTTTCCCCCTCTGTGAACAGGAGATTGGTTTGAGGTGTCAATGTTTGCCCATCAGGGAGGGATGATGGATGAGGGGATGGCTGGGGGAGTAGCAGAAATAAATAATAAAGGAATAATTGCCGTGTGCTTAATAACTGGCTGGGGGAGGACCTGGGTGAGGCTGCGAAGGCTGAGTTTGCAGGGAGTTTTTGGAGCTGGGTGCTTCCCAAACCCTCTTTGGTTCGTGCTGGTGGTAGGATGCCCCAAAACGCAGCTGGCTCTGGGCTGCAGTGGTCTTGGTTTTCATTGCACGATACTTTGCCCGCATGTAGAACAGGGGGGATGCCACCAGCTCAGGCATCCCCAACCCACCACCGCCCCTGTGCCGGGCGAGCCGGGGCAGCCCGCAGGGCTGGACCAGCCCCAGCCACAGGCTGCAACCCCGCTGCCACCGGCAAGCCCGGGCAGGCCGGGTGCTGCCGGGTCCCGACCTCCCTCCTGGCACCGTGCTTCGCCCCAAGCACACACGGGCTTTGTGTGGGCAGCCGCATGGTGTCCTGCCTGCCTCCACGCACACGGGAAGCGATGCTCCCACCCCACAACACCCCCACTTGTGCACCTCCTGGCTGCTGCTTAAAAAATAACCCCCCCCACCAAACCATCTCATTGAAAGAAAAAAAAAAATCACATTCGAGTTGGTTTTGTTGCTTTCAGAAGCTGAACAAAACGAGGTTGTTTCAGGCCTCGCCTGGTGCCTCCTTTATATTCACCCTTTCTCACTTTAAAACCCTCGACTGGCTCCAGCAGGCTGGAATATTTTTTCCTGGCAAGGTTGTTTTTTTCAGTCCCCTGGCAGGGTGGGGGTGCTGGGGGCTCTCTTTTTCCAGGGGGGTTTAAAAACAGAAACTACACACTTGTGCCTGGCAAAACAAAATAAATAAGTGGACCAAGGGACAAGGGGACTGCCAGCTTTTTGCAGCCCTGCCAGTGCCACCGCTTCCAGGGCGAAGCGGAGAGCAGGTCCCCCAGTGCTACCAACGGGGACCTGAGAGTAGAAGCCAGGACAGGGGACTCCTTCTTGCCTTTTAGGGTTCATGGTCCCCAGTGTTGCCAAGCTGAAGGGAGAGCCCAGATCTGCTTCCAAAGTTGCCCCCCCAGACACATCAAAGCTGTCCCCCACAGGGCTAACCCTACCTCATCCCAAGGGCTGCATCCTGCACTCCCAGCACAGAGCACACACAAGCCAAGACTAGCCTCTGCAGTGAGCCCAGCCCTTATTTTGGGTTGAGATTGGCCAGATTGGGAGCAGCTGTGACCACTGCAGAGCAAATGGGCAGCCCTGGGGCTGACTGCTGCAGTGCCTGGTCTCCAATGGGATCCAGTAGATCACTGGGGAGGTGATAGGGTGCTCCTCATGTGCTGGGGAGACTGGAAGGGCTGTGTGGGCACAGAGAGGTACCCATGGCCAGCCCCGCAACCTTGAGCCAGCCTGCCTTCCCCATGGAGCTCCCCAAACCTGCTGCCCCCAGACCCGCCGCCCCCTGCCCTGCCTGCGCTGGCTGGGCTGCCAGCTGAGTGTACGCTGCTTTTCTTCCCTGCCTTGGTGGAGCCCAACCGCTCCTCGATGTAATTGGCCTCGCGAGGGCTCGGCTATTCCTGTGACTTCTGTGCAGCTCCTCTCGCCACCCTGTACCCAGGAGGGCTCCAGAGCCACTTGTGTTTCTCAGGGCATCTACAGGGCTGGATGGGGACATGGCACAAGCAGAGGGATAGTCCCAGGCAGTCACAGCACGTCACCCCCAGGAGCTCCCCACAGGGGCACGGAAGGATGCTTCAGGGGTTGGGAGCAGCTCCCAGAACTCGGGACACCAGGACACCCTCGTGCCGCACAGGCAGTGTGCAACCATCGCCACGCAGGTGGTGGTTTGTGCTTCAGCTTCCCTGCGGGGAATTGCTGTGCTGCTGCAGAGGTGGGTGATAGCACCCATGTACTAGGGCTGGGTGTACAACCAGGCCTGGGCTGGTGAGATGTCCCCTACCTCCAGGGGAGAGGATCAGACAGAGCCAGGCGGTGCTGGAGGGAAACAAGGAAGCAAAAGGGTTTTTTCTTCTCCGTTTTTTTTCTTTCTTTTTTTTTAATTTGTAAATAACTTTCCATGAAAAAGGTTAAATTGCACACATATCTCTGCAGTTCTTCAGCATCAGTATAGAGGCCTCAAAACAGGAAAATGTAACAAAAACAACAAATAAAAAGAAGCATCACCAATACAGATATAAACACCTACACCGACCCCCAAAGACCCCAGACACATGGCCCTCACTCCCCAGCCCCGGGACACTGGCCCCAGCTGTGCGGTGGCATCCCAGGGGACTTCAGACGCTGGCACCTGAGCAAAGCAGCAGCCCCAGCTCTGCTGTTTGCATGAGCTGAAGATGTTGGTTCTCAGCCTGTCCCACGCTTTACCAGGGGGATGCAGGACTTGCACTCCCACCTCCATGGCTCCAACCCTCTCCCCAAATTTGGTTGCAAAGTACTCCAAGGGTAATTTATATTTTTTTAAGGCTTGTTTATTGATTCTTACACTACAACTGTACTCTCACTAAATTATATTGCTCACATTAAAGGTTCTAAGTGCTTTTGTAACCAAAAAAGAAACTCTTTACAATCTTCCATTTTTCAGCAAGTCTAAGACACACCATTAAAACTACAGCTTCTACTTACTCCTACCTAATGGCTACTCTACCTCTAATAACCTACAGCGAAGGAGAGGTGAAGAATCCAGTTCTCGAGAGCTTCAAGTCAAGTTTCAGCAGAGTTTGGCTCTGCTCCCAAAATGTTTCTGAGCTACTTTGCAGAGACCCTGCCACGCTCTCACTGCACACTGAGCCAAAGGGCCAAAGCTTCAGTTTGTGTCAATTCTGGCAGCTCTCCCGGCTGATGAGCTGCTCCTGGCTGGATGGGACTTCATCTCCACTGCCATCCCCAGAGCCCGTTGCACACACAGTCTTTGGCCTGAGCTCCTGGATGGAGCCTGAATCTTTCCTCCTCAGTCTCACCTGGGAGCATTCGATGTGGAGTGACCCCATCACCACCAGCTGATGGCCATGCCATGGTGTTTTCCTTATGGCTCCTTAATCGGGGTCCTGCGTTGCCCTGGCAGCCTCTCGGAACCTGATGGATGAGCAAAAGAAGTGGAGAGCAACAGTCTTGAACCAAAAAAACCAGAGAGGGGCTATGTCAGCTGGTGAAAGACAAAGAGGGTTTATGGTGGTCTAGACCCTTCAGCAAGCGCAGCAAGGATTTTGGGTACAAAAAAGACGAAAGCCAGTTCTGGGAGCGTCCTGGTCCCTGCTGCTTCTCTCCTGCTGGGGCCAATTCCTGGATCCTTAAAAAAACCTGTTGCTGCTGCTGCAGGAATCTTCCCTCGCGTGGTCTTGGTTTACAGAACAACGAACCCAAGCCTTTAAACAGTGAAAATATAAAACTCCCAAACTGCATTTCCCCTATCCCCCCCACTATTAAGAAATTCTAGTGCTAAAAATATAGGTTTCTTTGAATATATAATATATAATAGATTATATAAAAACATCTAAAGAGGCAGACTTGCTGAATTTATAAACCTTTTCTTCTTCCCTAGGCACAATTCAGGAGGGAGGTTGAACTCAGAGAATCCAGAAGGGACCTCTATTTGCTTGCTAGCTAATTATCACACTATACCTACCAACTACTCTAGACAGAAAAAGGAATGAGAGAAATGGAGAGACAAAGAGGTGAGGAAATTGCACTTAGTCTATTGAGTCCTAAGCCACCAGGAATCTCATGTCTTAGATGGGATTTAGCAGGTGCTCTCCTTTAGCCCTGAAGGCACATATGCCGTGTCCATTTCCACGGAAAAAAAAATATGATAATTCACATTTCTTCCTTTAAAAGTAAAAAAATAAGTAGCTTTATATTTCTTCTCTTGAGGAAACTCATGGACTAGAGACTTCTGATGTGTCCTTTAAAAATATATCAAGCAGTTTCTGTGGTGGTGTTTTTTTCTCCCCCCTCGTGTTTCTGTGAATAATTTTACAATGAAGCTGGTAAATGTCCCTGTAGATGTCTCTGTCTCTAGAAAATCTTGTCCCTTTTAAGTCCCAGCAGCATGGGGGGAGCATCCTACTAAAGTCTGTGTGAGCTTTGAATGGTGACTGGCCTCCTATAAGAGGGACGCCAGACTGCTCCAGTCGCTCACATCTGCTGGCAAAGAGGTGTCATTGAGGTCAAACAACTGCTCCATGTTGACTGAGTTGGAGAGGTAATCATTTGTCCCTTCGTCCCAGGGATGTTGCAGGAAAGAAGTGGCCATGAAGGTTTCATCAAAGTCCAAGTTGTTCTGGTCGGATTCGGTGAGGACCTGCTCCTGCCCCTGGGCACAGTCGATGTGGTGCCCATGTACCGTCAAGTCCAGGTCACGTGTTATGGGGCTGATTGGAGGCGTGAGGTCCAGATCCCCAAATGTGGAGAAGTCTCCATTCAGGTTGGTGTCGAAGATAGCTTCCCAGTCAAAGTCACCTTTTAGAGATCCCAGCTCGGTCTGCTCTTCCTGGGTCAGCAAGGCAGAGTTGGAAAGCCGAGACGCCTTGGTCATTCGCTTGGGCAAGGGCTGCTTGCGCTTCTGCCCTGCTTTGCCATTGACTGGATTCCAGTTCTGGTCACCGGTGACTTCTTCAAACTCTTTCAGCAGCTGCTGTGACTCCATGTTGACGTTGAGGACATTACTGGAGGTGCAAGCTGAAGCGGCCGGGCTTGCAACGCACTGTGCTTCTTCTTGGACTGTTTTGGTGAAGGCCGGGTGGATCTGCACTGGGGGCATCCTCCGCTTTTTGAAGGCGCCGTTCTTGAGCCGGTCGGCGTATTGGGGGTCAAGCTTCCAAAACCCACCTTTCCCTGGCTCACCCTTCTCCCGGGGCACCTTGATGAAGCACTTGTTCAAGGAGAGGTTGTGCCGGATGGAGTTCTAGACCCAAAAGAGAAAAAAAACCAAGGCTGAATGCTTGTCTGCTGCCATGGCACCTACCTGTGTGGGGAGGCTGGTGGAAAAGCACATCTTCAGCAAGGACCTTTGGGAAAAAGAAGGCAGAAATGGCAATGTCAAGACAACCCAGGCTACATGCCCAGCAGAAACTCCCCTGCCCCAAGTTACCAGCAGAGTTTTCTTGCCTCCTGTCTAATCCAGCCAGAGGTGACAGGAGCCAATGGGTTCAAGCTAGGACTTCTCAACCAACAGGAAGTTTCTGGGCAACTTTCCTTGGGTGTAAATTGGGGCCATGGGGCCTTGGAACATGCAGAGCACTGGGAGAAACTGGCCAGACTTGCTCTAGGCATGGAGCTAAGCTGGAGGAGGTCAGGCCCTCCTTTGTGTCTAAGGAGGAAGAGGACGGTCTTTACACCGATGTGGCAATGGCCCCATTACAAGTGGCAACATGTGGCAGCACCATGGGAGATGGCATCATCAGGGTCCTCCTTGCATCCCCCAGTTCATCTGTGCCTATTGCTAGTGTTGAGGGGAAAATATTTGGCCAAAAAATAGGCACCATGCCTCCCCACAGCCAGGCTGACACAAACCAGGCAGACAAAAATCGGAGAGACACGTGGGCTGTTCCACTGCAGCCCTGTATGTCCCCAGAGGTGCATCCTGGCCTGGGGAAGCTTGATGTGAAATCACTGCATCTTCATCAGCCACTGCTCAAATGAGCTGAGGAGGGAAAAAAAAAAAAAAAAAAAAAAAAAAAGAAAAAGAGGAGTTTCTGCTCCCGTTGAGCTGTTCTGAAACCCTGAATGTGCCTGGAGTGATGTGAATAATCAGAAAGGAAACTCAGTTATTGGGTAAATAACCCAGCATTGGACTCCACAAAGCCAAGACTGTATTAAGAGATTGGATATGGTAGAGGGTTGTTTTTTTTTAATGTTGCCTGGATATCTTTATGCTTATTCATCCATAATCCGTAGTGCCGAATAGGAAAAACAAGGCTTGAATGCTTAGAGCTGTTGAAAAACACACGCGCACACACACGCACACACATACACACACAACAAAACCCTCCTCTGGGCTGAAGCTCCTTGGGTGTGTTGGCTCCTCTCCAAAGCACTCAGCTCCCACAGGAATATATCCATCTCCCCCCGGAGTATGGGTGGTATGACCTTTCCAGGCTGTCTTCATGTACGGGAATTGGGATAGGGGATGAGAACACAGCCTCAAAAAGAAAGAAAGGAAAAAAAAAAAAGAAAGAAAGAAGAACGAAAAAAAAAGAAATAGAAAAAGAAAGAAAAAAAAAGAAGAAATAAAGAGAAAAAAAGAAAGAAAAAAAGAAGAAAGAGGCAGCAGGAACACAGATATCCCTGCAAACAATCCAGGCTGTGGTAACTCCAAATTTACAGTTTAACGAAATTTTACAAGGGTCAGAGACTTGCAAGCTGAATTCTCTGCTCCCCATCACCCCTCCCCATCCCAAACTTCATTCAGCCTGGACTGCCCTCCGTTATTACCCAGCCAGTTAACATATTTATCATTCCTGCCTGCAACAATCCCGTGAACCCCCTGCATCTCTGCAGAGAGGGATTGAAAACCTTCTTTCTTTTTTTAATAAACACATTTAATTAAAAACGTGGTGATTATCCAGCCGTGAGTTTGCAGGAGAAAGTCAACATGCTGGCACACAGCTCCTCCTCCTGAATCACTCCTGTAGGTCCCCCCCAGCACAGGGGAGGCTGGGGGACCCAGGCGGCACTGGAGAGGGACCGGGGTGTTCCCTTCCCCGTGATGGGCTTCAAGAGCCACTGGAGACCCACCTGCCTGAGGAGAAGGTGGGCAATGCGTGGGCAGGGGGTTTGCACCAGTTTTGCCCAGCCCTGCCTGGGTGAGCATCACCGCTGAGATCGCTGGCACACTGCAGATTTGGGCTGGGAATAACCTGAGCAGAGGGACAAGCCACCCGGATCCCTCCTGCCCTGCCACATCCTAGAAAGCCTCATGTGCCAGAGGTCCCCTCGCATGACAGAGGAGGGCAGCGAGCCAAGGTGGCTGGGAAAAGCCCCTGTGCTTCAGGCTGTCCTCAAAGCTGGTGAGCTACCCCCTGGAGACACGCTCGTGCTAGCTGGGGACAGCAGCCCTATTTGACCTCTCTTGGGCTTCCCTCTGAGGCTTCACCAGCTTGTCACAGTGATGGAGCCTCCTTCACCTGCCCAAGGGGACAGAAGACCTGCCTCTGCCCTGCTTGGAAAGCAGCAGCATTTCTACTCTGAACTTCCCCAACAAGGGATTTGTCCAACAAGCGACATCTCCCTGGCGGTCCTCTCCATCCCTCTCCTATGCCTGGTCCTCAGCACCCAGAGATACTCAACCTGGCAATTTCATGTGTGCGCAGTCCTAAGGGACTCTGGACCCCACAAGAGCTCCAGAAAGGCAGAGCCGGGGACAGAGATGCCTTCACCCCCAAGCCAAGAGGAGCTGCCGGCACCAGCAGCCCAATGGGTACCTCCCTGCTCCCAAAATGGCCCTGGGCTCTCCCCTGTAATGGCTCCTTCCCTCTGCTGCCCTCGTGGCCATGGCATTTCTGCACACCCAAGCTCTTTCCCGTTACAGCCCTTCCCCACTGGCTACCAGTGCCGGTCTCTTCCCAGTGAGATCCAGCATCCCCACGGGACCTTGCCTTGCATGGTGGAGGCTGTGGAAAGCCCTCCCCAGCCCTGTGGGGAGAGGGGACAAGGCAAGAGCTCTCCAAATCTCATACCTGCCAGGTGGGATCAGCATGTCGGAAGTAGCAGAAGTTGTCAGTAATCCACTTGTAGATGGCAGAGAGGGTAATTTTGGGCTTCTTGCTGGCTTCCATCGCCATGCAGATGAGGGTGGCGTAGGAGTAGGGCGGCTTGACGTATGGGTTGGTCTTGTAGTCAATGTCCTCTGCGAGCTGAGGGTGCATGGCCATGGCGTGGTGCGCCGTCCTCGAGGTGGAGGAGGAGATGGGCTTGCAGGGAGTGTGGGGCATGCCCATGCACGCTGGGTCGGCGGCCAGGGGTGAGCACGGGGCGGCAAAGCTGGGGATCCTGTGACAGTCATGGGGGTCTGGGCCACTGGGGCAGCAGGAGGACTTGCCCATGCTGGCGTTGATGATTGAGAAGTCCTGAAGCCACATGAGGCTGGTCAGGCTGTCGTCCAGGTCATCCGAGTCCCCCATGCTGCCCTTCTGCCCTCTGTTCAATCCTGCTCGCGGGCGGTTCAGCCACCCCTCAGCCATGCCTTGGTGTGTCGGCAGCTCTTGCATTCACGGGGTGCACGTGAAGGGGAGGGAGGTGACGGGGCAGATCCTGCAATAACAACGGGGAGAGGGTTGAGGCTCCCTGAGGCGCAGCAGCTCTCTAGCACCCAGGCAGGGCTGGGCATGGGTGCTCCTGGGTAAGACCCATCCCTGGGGTGCTGCGCACCAGAGCTGCATCGCCTCCCCCAGGGTGCTTTAGCAGCCCCGAACCTCAGGGAAATTCCCTCAAACCCACACTCCCCAGTATCACCAAAACCCTGGTGGGCCAGCGCTGCCCAGCCAGCCTTCGGCAGAAGAAAGAATTAAAAAAAAAACCAAACCCCAAACCCAACAAAAACTCCCTCAAACAACCAAAATCCAGCCCTGCCAGCCCACCAAGCGAGGATGTTTCTCCCACCCGCCGCTAGCAGGACAAAATCTCGGGACCCAACACCTCGACAAAATATCTTAAAGTTCCCCCCCCCACTACCAACTTCCCTCAGTTTCATGCTATTCCTGCTCCTCCCTTCACCCGGTACCCCTAAAACAACCCGGGACACACACACACGGACCCACCCCAAGCACCCCCTCACTCAGAGCGAGCCGGCAGATTCAAGCTTCGGTTATTCCCGGTGTCTGGCTCGCCTGCTGGGCTGTAAACCCGAAATCCCGTAGTTTTGGGGGAGGAGAGAGCCTCCCGAGGCCAGCCGGGGACGAGGAGCCCTGACACCGGCTGCGCCGGGGCTGGGGGTTCCACCGTTTGAATGACGCCGCGCTCAACAG